AGATAGATAGATAGATAGATAGATAGATAGATAGATAGATAGATAGATAGATAGATAGATAGATAGATAGATAGATAGATAGATAGATAGATAGATAGATAGATAGATAGATCGATAGATCGATATATAAATAGATAGATAGATAGATAGATAGATAGATAGATAGATAGATAGTAGATAGATAGATAGATAGATAGATAGATAGATAGACAGATAGATAGATAGATAGATAGATAGTAGATAGATAGATAGATAGATAGATAGATAGATAGATAGATAGATAGATAGATAGATAGATAGATAGATAGATAGATAGATAGATAGATAGATAGATAGATAGATAGATAGATAGATAGATAGATAGATAGATAGATAGATAGATAGATAGATAGATAGATAGATAGATAGATAGATAGATAGATAGATAGATAGATAGATAGAGATAGATAGATAGATAGATAGATAGATATATAGATAGATAGATAGATATAGATAGATAGATAGATAGATAGATAGATAGATAGATAGATAGATAGATAGATAGATAGATAAGATAGATAGATAGATAGATAGATAGATAGATAGATAGATAGATAGATAGATAGATATAATAGATAGATAGATAGATAGATAGATAGATAGATAGATAGATAGATAGATAGATAGATAGATAGATAGATAGATAGATAGATAGATAGATAGATAGATAGATAGATAGATAGATAGATAGATAGATAGATAGATAGATAGATAGATAGATAGATAGATAGATAGATAGATAGATAGATAGATAGATAGATAGATAGATAGTAGATAGATAGATAGATAGATAGATAGATAGATAGATAGATAGATAGATAGATAGATAGATAGATAGATAGATAGATAGATAGATAGATAGATAGATAGATAGATAGATAGATAGATAGATAGATAGATAGATAGATAGATAGATAGATAGATAGATAGATAGATAGATAGATAGATAGATAGATAGATAGATAGATAGATAGATAGATAGATAGATAGATATAGATAGTAGATAGATAGATAGTAGATAGATAGATAGATAGATAGATAGATAGATAGATAGATAGATAGATAGATAGATAGATAGATAGATAGATAGATAGATAGATAGAGATAGATAGATAGATAGATAGATAGATAGATAGATAGATAGATAGATAGATAGATAGATAGATAGATAGATAGATAGATAGATAGATAGATAGATAGATAGATAGATAGATAGATAGATAGATAGATAGATAGATAGATAGATAGATAGATAGATAGATAGATAGATAGATAGATAGATAGATAGATAGATAGATAGATAGAGAGATAGATAGATTTAGATTTAGATTTAGATTTAAAAATATACTTTTTTTTATCGGAAACATGATTATATTATGTTATAAAACAATTATTTTCCAACCACTTTCCTTATTTGCATAACCAATGTCAAGGTTATTTGTTAAAATTAATGCTATACAAAAATCTAAAATTAAATAAAATATTACTATGTGGTTAAGCATGCATTCAGTATGTATTACAAGTATTGTTTAAAATGTTCTTTAGTTAATGAATCATTATTATTTGAATTCTCATCTGTCTACTGGTATTATCTAATACACGAATTTAATACCATATTGTAATATATTTTTTTTAAATTCTCTGGAGGTTATTTAACATAATAAGTAGTCAGTCATATTAACCAGAACAAAATGATTTATTCTACTGTGATATTATGTACATTAGGGCGGTGCAAAGAAAAAACATTTTGTATATTTTTTTCCTAGGACTAAATTTTTTATTTATTATTTTCGGTTTCACTCATATTTGTTCATTTAATAGAGTTGAGAGCTCCCCTATGAATAATGGTGACAACTGTTGGACATGATTCGGCGACAGGTTGACTTTGAAGTGTAATTTATGGAGATGACAAAATTTTATTTTACATGCTGAATTAAATGTTTATATTTGAGAATTTTTTTTTTAGATTTACATAGTACATGTGTATTAATTCTTCAAACACATTCCCAGAGATTTAAATCGAAGAATTGATTCTCAAGGGAATAAAAAATACCTTAGAGGTTGAATATATCTCTTAAAATTGACCCAATATGTTCTCCTCTATGCCTCATATGACTGTCTTTAGTGGTCAATAGATTAGATAAACCCCTTGAAAATATTATTCTCTTTAACAAGATTTCAGATCCTATATTGCCCTTTTATTTCTTTAATAAGAAAGCTAAATTTTAAATTTAATTCTCCTCGTTTTTAGGAAAGTTTCATTAATACCATGTGCAAAGATCATGGCAGTTCCCATAAAGATATTTACTATTACTTCAAATTACACAATGGAGATTTAATAGGACGTAGTGAATATCATGAAATATGTCAGAGTAAAAGTAATCCCTTACTGGCCTGGGTACCATATGAACAAATGCAAAAACGTTACGCTCCCGAACTGAATCCAAAGGAGGTGAGTTTTTTTATGACTCCAAAAAAAATTTTACTTTTTATAAAAATTTTGTATTTGTTTTAGCGTCATAACTATATAGCCAAAGCCACCGATGTTCAGCGGGAAAAACGGAATTGTGTTATTTCCGTCATACCGATTTAGTTTATAATATATCCGATAATTTATTCACCTGTGTGGTGATGATATTCGAAGATAATTTTGTAAGTAGAAAATTTTAATTTTCTCCAGTTTTATAGTTTAATTAATTAATTCTTAACTTTCAGTACGGTTTGGATTCCAATATAAATGTTTTGGTGGAAATTAAACCTTTAATGTATGAACTACGTAATATAACCTATTTGCCTACGTTAAATTCAACTCTTAGCTATAAAACGCTATTGGGTAAAAAGGAATTGAAAAATCCCAGTAGTGAAAAGAAAGAAATTTTTGGTAATTTAAAGTATTCCTTTGTGGAGAAGATTGATTTAAATTTGTCTACCGTTTACCAAGATGATATGATCAAATTACCCTTATTGTTTGAGCATAAAATGCTATTTTGGAATTAGATGATAAGGGCATAGGAGGCATGGATGTTAATGAGGTAATTTAGGGAAAAAAATAAAAAAATTTTCGTTTAATTTTTTTTGATTAAATTTTGCAGAAAGCCTATTATGGCCGTAAATGGAACCAAAAACCAAAATCAAGGTCGATGTCATTGGCCAATGGGCAGAACATTGCGAACAATTTAATGCCGATATTTACGAATACTTTGGTTATGGCATTAAACGTTTCGCAACGAAATGAAAAATGGTTCGGTAACATTTGTACGCATCGAAAGTACCGAACCCGTGTATGAAATTCCCGAAGAAGATGATATTGTTGTGGCAAAAATACATTCGTTGGGTGGTAAAAAATTTGAACGTCTAAGCGCCGAAGAGGATAGTTTTGGTTTCGATGGTAATGACAGCATGACTTTAAATGAATTGGATGGTAATTGGGAAGATGAAGAAGAGGGTCATACTGATAATCGTCCATATCCAGGTTTTTATCCTTGGTTTATTGTGGCTGTTCTTGTGGTTGCGGGTGTCATTTTGGCGGCAATTTATGGTGTTGTACGTAATTATAGTAAGAAAAATGAAAGGCAAAATTATAAATTTACTGGTATTTAAAAGGGGGAAGAGAAAATCAATTAACAAGTATTACACTTTTACAGAAATATTGAAATTTTTTACTAATATTTTTTTTATTTTAAAATTTATAATAAAATGTTGCTTTTTATTAAAACATTTTGGGTTTTAATTAGTTAGTTAGTTAGTTAATAAGTTAAATAATTAGTTTTTAAAGATATTTAGTTAGTTGAAACCCTTGCAAAAAAATATAAATATCTTTGAAATCGGTTGGTAAAGAAAAATAATAGAAAGTGTTAATAAGATTAACATTTCGAAGGTACCTTACTTTTAGCCCTCCTAGCACCTCCTCTGGAGCATTTGTAGGCTCCATTTTTAAAACTTTAATACGTATACTCCTTGTCTATGTCCATGTCAAATTTTATTACGATTTGAGCATTAGTTTTGATTCTGTTAGAATCCAAGCGATGTGTACTTTCCATACAAATTGTGCTGCACCAATTGTAATCTCAGTAACTCTGTTTAGTTTCCTCTAATCTGGCAACATTTTGTATGTAATTGTAAATTTCTAATAAGAACTTTGTTAACTCATTCTCTCTCTTTCGCACGCACAACAATTTTTGTTTTAACTTCAGAAAAAATTCTCTTACTAGAATTTATAGGAAAAAAAGGAGAAAGAGTTAACATAACAAAACACGAGCTCAGTTTTGTTACACGGTTCTTGATAAACATTCAGTTCGTAAACGAAAATTTGTTTTAATAAATAATAATAAAAAACAAATACAATAAAACCTAAATTGAATTGAAAAGTGTTAAGAAATTCAAAAAAGCTCAATAATACGGCAAGAATTTCAAAAGAAATCTGTGAAGTTTGAAATCCATAACAAAAGAATAAAAATCAATTTTCGTAACAGGGCTAGAGCAAAAAAAAAAGAAAATTTTAAGTTCTAAAGTGTGTGTGTGAAAGTGTTTTAAAAAAGAGAAAAAATATTAGCAAAATTGAAAACAAAATCTTTTAATAAACGCCGTAAAACAAATTAAACATTTAGTTCGAGTAATTCAATTTTAATTACACTTGGAAAAAAGGTAAGTTCATAATAATAAAAACAAATTTATTTCGCTTTTTTGCAATTTCTTTTTTATTTTTGCTGTTTGAAAATTTGTCTGGCAACTTTAACAACAACCAGCTGTTTGTTTACCTCGACATTGTTTTACTCTTTTCTTTTTAACTTTTCCAAATAAGTAGAAAAGAGACGACTATATATTATGTGGCCAAAGTATATTTCGTTTTTCCTTTTTATTTTTGTTTCTGAAAACGAAACAACTTCGTTTTCATTTTGTTGGCAGCCATTGTGTTTTACCGACGTCAGAAGAAGACAAAAGGTCGTGCGTGTGTAGAAATTTATACAAAAACATTTTGATTCACTAGCTTCAATTTCATTTTTCCCCAACAAAAATTCCTTAAACTTTAAGGAAAATCTAGTTATTTCGTTCATGTAAATTATAAAAAAAGTGTGTTTTTTGCAAACTCTTCTAACGGTTTATGAGTTTGTTATTGTTTTGAAAAAAAATAAAAACAAAATTAAATCACAAACAAAACTTTGAAAAACTGAAAAAAATGTGAAATTTCTTTAAATGAAAAAGAGAAAAAATTGTGCTTATAAAAGAAAACATTCATAAAATATCATCAAAGAACATTTGTTCCCTAGAAAACGCGTTATTTTTATATAATTTATTGCCTCGAAGGTAAGTTTCTTTTTAGTAAAATTATGCTGTGAGCCAGAAAATGCTTTGGTTTTTCTTGTTGTTGTTTTAAATATTTCTACATTTAAATTTTTCTCTATGAGTTTGTTTCTTTTTTTTGTATCAACCATTACCAAATCCGGAATTTTTATATCGTTTGCATTTAGTAGTTGTGTTAGTTTGGTGGATTTTCTTCTTTTATTTCTACTACTGAAAATGCTGTGCTTTATCTTTCATCTGTGTTTTTTTTTTCTACTTTTATTTTGCACCGAAATTCTACATGAGATAAAACTATAGGTAAATTGTTGCTATGGCGTGTATATGTCTCTTTTTTTTTTTGGTGTAATTCTCATTCCATCTCTTTTTTTGTGTTTTGTTTCTATTGAGATTTCTGCTAGAACAAGGTGACTCAGAAAATGTTTTTGTTAACAGGGTGTTACTTTTTTGGCAATAAATTGCCGTTAAATTAAGCGCTGTATATTTTTAAAATTTAATCCTCGGAAAGTCTGTTCGTGAGCTTATTGACTAGTCTTTTGACTATACTATTGATTAGTCTGCTGTATACTATTGATAAGTCTGCTGTTCGTGAGTTAGACTAGACTATTGAGGAGTCTTTTGACTAGAATATTGACCAGTCTATTGACTTGTATGTGAACTATATTGTTGACTTGTCTATGGACTATTGATTAGTCTTTAACTAACTAACTAATGAGTCTTTTTACTAGTCTATTGACTAGACTATTAGCTAGTCTATTGACTAGCCTTTGGAATAGTCTATTGACTAGTTTATTAACTAGTTTATAGACTAGTGCATTGACTATTCTATAGATTAATCATTCGACTTTTCTGTGAACTATATTTTGACTATTAATAAGTCTGTCGACTTTTTGATTGACTAGTATATTGACTATACTATTAACAAGTCTATTTACTAGTCTATTGAATTGTCTGTGAACTCTATACTGTCGGCTTTTGTATGACTGGTCAATGGATTACCCTAAGATACCAGGCAACCGAGTTTTTTCCACAGTAGAACTGTTACAACAAACACCGGAGGCTGTTAGTCGGCATCACTTGGGGTATTGGATAAAGGAATCTTGTTAGCTACTGCCAGGGTAACGATTCGCATCTTACTCGGCGACCGGGTTTTTTTCCACAGTAAAACTTTTATAACAACCATGACTGAACTTTGGGTATGGATAAGGAAATCTTGTTAGCTGCTGTCAGTGGTTAATTATGCTTTTGAAAATTTTGTTCAATTTTATTTAAGAAAATTATTTTCTTTACAAATATTGAAAGTTTGAAATCCATGTTTCTTGAGAATGTAGTGATGCCCACAGAACTAAGAACGATTTCTTTTTATGAATGAATTCTTAGAAAAAGAAAAATATTATTTGCAAGAATTTTTGTATGAAGAGACACGCGTATTAGAGATGTCGTCCTATCCCAACTTATTTTATAGTTACAATGAAAAGTTACTCTTTAAATTACGGAAAAACGTAGAAAAAATGCGCATGTCTGAAAAAGAAGGGAAAGTGTATTTAATGAGATTTTCCCCGAATATATTATATTGTATATGTATTGAATTGGTATTATTTATTTTTTGTTATTATGAATTCATTATCATAATTGAGAATTTAAGAAAAATGAAATTACCCTGAACAGGAAATTTTTATATTGAATATATTATAGATTTATCTTGATTTATATAAAAATATGTAATAAACAAAGCATTCTCTTGGCTCCACAAAAAAATAAACCAAACATCTCTTAATTACCTCTATCTATGTAATACTATTATTTACAGCCCTTTGTAAATTTGGTGATATCTTAACAACATGGAACGTAAAAAAGTTCTAGAATTGGATAAAATCTGTCGTGTTTGCATATGTGAACGCAAAGATATGCGACCGCTGTTTAGTGAAAAAGTCGCCGATATGCTAATGGAATGTGCCAGTGTGTGTGTTAGACCCACTGAGGGTTGGCCCGATAAGATATGTGTACAATGTGTACATGCTGTCTCACGTTGTCATGCCTTTAAAATGCAAGTCGAACGTAGTGATAAAGAATTGCGAGAATATATTAAATCCTTAACGGTAAGAGTGGTAATAGAAGATTCGCCATCAGCAACGCAGACACCGGCCACACAACAAACCGAAATGAAAATGCATCAAACCACCACTAGAGTGGTGTTAGATGAAGCTCAAGGTTTGAAACTGCAACAAAGTCAAGCTAAATTAATAGCTTTACAGCAGCAGCAACAGTTGTTAATACAACAGCAACAAGAACAAAAGCAACAGAAGCTAATACAAAAACAATTAAAACAGCAGCAGCAGCAACAGGAACAGGAGGAAAAACAACAAATGTTACTGCAACAACAGCAGCAACAGCAGCAGCAACAACAACAACAACAACAGCAGCAGCAAATAGTTTTGCAAAATAAAAAGAAAACTTTGGCCTTAAATAAACAAAAACAACAGAGTGTGCTTAAGAAACATCAGCAGCAGCAACAACAACAACACCAGCAACAGCAACAACAAACTATTGTGATGCAGCAACAGCAGCAGCCACACATGCAAAACTATGCAACCACAACAAAATCCTCATATTTTGCAACAACAGATACTCTCCGACTCCATTACCGTACAAAATCCCCGCCTTCAAACCACACAATCAATAATGAGTTCTCCTCCCTTATTACCCATTCCCACAACAAACTCCAATAACACTAATACACTAGTACCACATACCAATACTAGCACCTCCCTGCCACAACAATTAGTCCTACCAAATGGACAAATTATAACCACCACTCAAATCCTCACCACTAATAGCAATGGCCAACAACAATTGGCACAATTAATCAATCCACAACCGGCAGCACCACCGCCGGTTACTCAGCATCAAACACAATTTGCTCCCCAGTTGATACAGACGACAAGTGGTCAAACATTGCAACTGATACAGCAACCAAATGGTCAGCAAATCTTGCAATTGGTGCATATTGTTCCTCATCGTTCCGTAGTGGGAACGGGAGGCAATTCAAATACCACCACCATACTCGATGATGAACACATTACCATGGTGGATGAAGAAACGCTAATGGAACAGACTGAACAACATCTCATCGATGATGATGAAGTGGATGATCAAGGGATGGGTGATGGGCAAAGAGAACAAATCTGTGAAACCATAGTGGTGGATGAAGAACAAATGCAAGTACATCACGGCCAGCATCATCATCATCAGTTGTTGCAACAAAATGAAGATCTGGAATATCTGGATGATATAACAGTGACCACATCACAACAGCAGCAGCAGCAACATCATCAGCAGCATCACCATCATCACTCCCAGCATCAACAACTGATACTACAGGATGTAACAGTGGTGCATGAGGTCGTTGATGATGATGATCCAGATGATGATCGTGATCATGATGATATAATCGAGGAGATACACATGGAAGAAGAGATGCTGGATGATGATAATACTGGCGCTGTTCTTTTAGAAACCTCAAATGGTTCTGATTTCATAACCGATGAGCAGCTCGAACAGCATCAACAATTGCTGGCCTCTGTAGAGGAAGATGAAGAATTATGCCAACAACAGCAAGATATGGCAGAGCATGAAAACTCTTTGGCTCAATACACCATAGTGGAACACTGTGTGGGAGATGAAGATGATGCCGATGCCTTAGAGGAAGCCGAAGTTAATGCTGTTCTTCATGCAGCCTGTGGTGGTGGTATTATCAATGAAAATGATGACATGATGACGGGAGAAACAACACAGAAAACTGTTAGCAACTCTATGACCACCAACACTACGACAACAACGGCCAACACACCCTCAAAGAAAGCCCGTCGAGCAGCTAATACACACACTAACAAATCCTTAGCATCTTCGCGTCTGCTGCAAGCAACCGCCAATTCTATAGCCGCAGCTGCTGCCCTCGATGATGACACCGAAATGGATTCTAAAATTATAGCCGAATTTATTAATCAACAGACTTCCGTTCTAGGAACAGGACGCTACAAGTGCAATCTATGCCAACAGGAATTTAAACAATTCAAAGGGCTACACAATCACATGCATTCGCATTCCAATTGGATACGAGCGAATTGTAAGAAACAACCACAATGTGAAATTTGCCACAAGACCTTTAAGGGACCGGGTATGTTGCGTATGCATATGAAAACCCATCAATCGGCAGCCAAAATACCCACCTGTCATATTTGCGGCAAAACTTTCAAGTCCAAGGCCATACTCTATCGTCATCGGCACATACATCAACAGCGTTCGTTTGCCTGTGCCATAGACAATTGTCGCAAACACTTTTCAAGTGCTGTCACTCTAAAGGCTCACGCTGAACGTAAACATCCACAAACGTTAAATGTGCCCAAATTTAAATGTGGCGAATGCAATAATCTTTTCTTTGATGTAGAAGATTTACAGGAACATGTACAAATAACCGGTCATGGTGGTGTCAATAATGGCAATACTTCGGGCAATTCCTCACATGAACTAAATCTCTCGAATGAACAAAACGATGGTGATTCCGGTCAAGGCACACAAACGGTCACCATGCATGAAGTGGTCAATAGCAATGGTGATGTTTTTATAGTTACGCAGGCGTAGTTTTAAACTGTAAATTAAATTCATTTGTTGTCTTTTAATTTTAATTAGCGGTTTCTTTCTCCTTTTCTCTCATTAGAATGGGAATTTTATTGTTGTTTAATATAATTAATTTATAGATTTGATCACATTATAATATTAAAAATCTGTGCAAATAATTTTTATATTATAAAAAATGTATATAGTTATTGTATGTACTTAGTTTAGGTACTCGTTTATAATTAAGAAGTTTTTTAATTAATTAACACTTTTTTTATTTTTCAGTTTTTTTTTTGGCAATAAATCAAATAAAAAGAAATTATTTTTATATAAATACGTATGAATACATCTAGTTATTTATTTTACACGGCGGATCGCCGCTCTCTTAGGGGACAGCTGTTGTACAATTCGCATCTACTTCGTTGTTGAAATCCTCTCCTTTTCGACATTGAAAAATTTCCTTGACTTCGTCTACAGAATCCTCTGAACATATTGCTATAGCTAATATGTATTTCTTCCCTATTTCTAGCCGGAAAGTTGAAGAGCAGGTCAACAAATGCCAGTTATATGTAGACACTCCCTTTTTCCAGTGCCGTAGAATCCGACGTTTACTACCCTGTTAAGAGAGAGAAAAAACATTTTGAGCATTTGCGTTCATTTGCCAATATACTGCTCCATACTTTTTTGACGTTAGTTGATTTTGAGAACAAAGGAATTTTTCCTCCTCTTAACTTCTTCCTGCTTAGCGACGTTCTAGGTGAAAGCAATACTTCCAACATATTCTTTTTCATCATCAGAATTTCCCAGAATTTATAATAAGCGCTCATTTGCCAATTCAGTTCTAGTTCAGTTCTAGCTCTAGTTCAGTTCTAGTTCTAGTTCAGTTCTATTTCAGTTCTATTTCAGTTCTATTTCAGTTCTAGTTCAGTTCTAGTTCAGTTCTAGTTCAGTTCTAGTTCAGTTCTAGTTCAGTTCTAGTTCAGTTCTAGTTCAGTTCTAGTTCAGTTCTAGTTCAGTTCTAGTCAGTTCTAGTTCAGTTCTAGTTCAGTTCTAGTTCAGTTCTAGTTCAGTTCTAGTTCATTCTAGTTCAGTTCTAGTTCAGTTCTAGTTCAGTTCTAGTTCAGTTCTAGTTCAGTTCTAGTTCAGTTCTAGTTCAGTTCTAGTTCAGTTCTAGTTCAGTTCTAGTTCAGTTCTAGTTCAGTTCTAGTTCAGTTCTAGTTCAGTTCTAGTTCATTCTAGTTCAGTTCTAGTTCAGTTCTAGTTCAGTTCTAGTTCAGTTCTAGTTCAGTTCTAGTTCAGTTCTAGTTCAGTTCTAGTTCAGTTCTAGTTCAGTTCTAGTTCAGTTCTAGTTCAGTTCTAGTTCAGTTCTAGTTCGTTCTAGTTCAGTTCTAGTTCAGTTCTAGTTCAGTTCTAGTTCAGTTCTAGTTCAGTTCTAGTTCAGTTCTAGTTCAGTTCTAGTTCAGTTCTAGTTCAGTTCTAGTTCAGTTCTAGTTCAGTTCTAGTTCAGTTCTAGTTCAGTTCTAGTTCAGTTCTAGTTCAGTTCTAGTTCAGTTCTAGTTCAGTTCTAGTTCAGTTCTAGTTCAGTTCTAGTTCAGTTCTAGTTCAGTTCTAGTTCAGTTCTAGTTCAGTTCTAGTTCAGTTGTAGTTCAGTTCTAGTTCAGTACTAGTTCAGTTCTAGTTCTAGTTCTAGTTCAGTTCTAGTTCAGTTCTAGTTCAGTTCTAGTTCAGATCTAGTTCAGTTCTAGTTCAGTTCTAGTTCAGTTCTAGTTCAGTTCTAGTTCAGTTCTAGTTCAGTTCTAGTTGTTCTAGTTCAGTTCTATTTCAGTTCTATTTCAGTTCTAGTTCAGTTCTAGTTCAGTTCTAGTTCTAGTTCAGTTCTAGTTCAGTTCTAGTTCAGTTCTAGTTCAGTTCTAGTTCAGTTCTAGTTCTAGTTCAGTTCTAGTTCAGTTCTAGTTCAGTTCTAGTTCAGATCTAGTTCAGTTCTAGTTCAGTTCTAGTTCAGTTCTAGTTCAGTTCTAGTTCAGTTCTAGTTCAGTTCTAGTTCAGTTCTAGTTCAGTTCTAGTTCAGTTCTAGTTCAGTTCTAGTTCAGTTCTAGTTCAGTTCTAGTTCAGTTCTAGTTCAGTTGTAGTTCAGTTCTAGTTCAGTACTAGTTCAGTTCTAGTTCTAGTTCTAGTTCTAGTTCAGTTCTAGTTCAGTTCTAGTTCAGTTCTAGTTCAGATCTAGTTCAGTTCTAAGTTCAGTTGTAGTTCAGTTCTAGTTCAGTTCTAGTTCAGTTCTAGTTCAGTTCTAGTTGTTCTAGTTCAGTTCTATTTCAGTTCTATTTCAGTTCTAGTTCAGTTCTAGTTCAGTTCTAGTTCTATTCATTCTAGTTCAGTTCTAGTTCAGTTCTAGTTCAGTTCTAGTTCAGTTCTAGTTCAGTTCTAGTTCATTAGTTCAGTTCTAGTTCAGTTCTAGTTCAGTTCTAGTTCAGTTCTAGTTCAGTTCTAGTTCAGTTCTAGTTCAGTTCTAGTTCAGTTCTAGTTCAGTTCTAGTTCAGTTCTAGTTCAGTTCTAGTTCAGTTCTAGTTCAGTTCTAGTTCAGTTCTAGTTCAGTTCTAGTTCAGTTTCTAGTTTCAGTTCTAGTTCAGTTCTAGTTCAGTTCTAGTCAGTTTTCTAGTTCAGTTTCTAGTTTCAGTAGTTCAGTTCTAGTTCAGTTCTAGTCAGTTCTAGTTCAGTTCTAGTTCAGTTCTAGTTCAGTTCTAGTTCAGTCTAGTTCAGTTCTAGTTCAGTTCTAGTTCAGTTCTAGTTCAGTTCTAGTTCAGTTCTAGTTCAGTTCTAGTCAGTTCTAGTTCAGTTCTAGTTCAGTTCTAGTTTCAGTTCTAGTTCAGTTCTAGTTCAGTTCTAGTTCAGTTCTAGTTCAGTTCTAGTTCAGTTCTAGTTCAGTTCTAGTTCAGTTCTAGTTCAGTTCTAGTTCAGTTTCTAGTTCAGTTCTAGTTCAGTTGTAGTTCAGTTTCTAGTTCAGTTCTAGTTCAGTTCTAGTTCAGTTCTAGTTCAGTTCTAGTTCAGTTCTAGTTCAGTTCTAGTTCAGTTCTAGTTCAGTTCTAGTTCAGTTCTAGTTCAGTTCTAGTTCAGTTCTAGTTCAGTTCTAGTTCAGTTCTAGTTCAGTTCTAGTTCAGTTCTAGTTAGTCTAGTTCTAATATTCGCTCAATTGCCAATTTACTACCACATGCTTTTATGAAGTGGACTGTGAGACCACAGGTCCCTCTTCTTGACCAGTCCCATATTAGCTTCGTTCCTTCGTCTTATTGTTGATCAAATATTCTATCTTACTGTTAACAACATACAGTGATAGTTCCACTGTCTTCTCTTGACTAGTTGGGGACCGAGAGGTAGAATTATTTGGTTTGTTTTTGTCTTTACGTTTTAAGACGGGGAACTATTTTTCTTTATGAACTTACTTGGATTGACTCAATATGATATTCCGGAGCATCTTCTTCAACTTTCTCCCCTGTGCTCCAGATTTTAAAGATTCAAAACTTAACTGAATATAATTTACAGCTGGTAGACTGATTCATTACAAAACTTTTTTAAAAAAAATTTCCACAAACACAGTTGCCAATGCCCTCAAAAAGCTTCAAAACCTTTATATCGTATAACAGTATAAGTATAACAGTTCATTTCAAACACAGTGCAAAAAAACTCTCATTTTGAAGCTAAACATATAAATATCAATATTTTTTAATTTTATTTATAAATTTAAAAATTAAGGTCATTGGTTTATAAAAAACAGCAAAAATACCATTAATACAAAAAAAAAACATAATATTTTCGTAATTCATTTATATAAACAAATAGTAATTTATAGGTCGTTGATTTGTTTTTACTTCTTCATAATCATCATCATTATTACTTCCTTTCCATAAACACACATCTGGCTAAAAACGGTCCATACAATTCATAAAGTACGCAATCAAATACAAAAGATAATTGGTTGCAAATATTTATGCCCAATGGATACAAAGAAACCAAAACTCGCTATAAATTTCGTAGTTAAATATTTCTTCGACAAGACGCAAGAAAAATAATTGAAACGTATAAAAATAAATATGTTAAGTATCATCACAATTTACTATTAAAGTGTCGAGAAACGAAAGAAAAAGTGCGTAATTTTTTTGGTTTACTTTTTTGATTGGAATGATATCATAAAAATTCATACAGTGATATCGAACGCAATAGATGGAAAAGGAGGCAACAAATTTAATGTGTAAATTACAGATGAAAATGGTAAACAAAGGCGTAGAAAGAAATCTAAATTACGTAGCTAGATATAGAAATATCTATAGATACTTGTTTTTCTTTAAGGATTCTAATACACTGCCTGAAATGGATATAGGGTAAAGGTTTCTTTTCTAGTTCAGTTCTAGTTCTGTTCTAGTTCAGTTCTAGTTTAGTTCTAGTTTAGTTCTAGTTCAGTTCTAGTTCAGTTCTAGTTTAGTTCTAGTTCAGTTCTAGTTCAGTTCTAGTTCAGTTCTAGTTCAGTTCTAGCTCAGTTCTAGTTCAGTTCTAGTTCAGTTCTAGTTCAGTTCTAGTTCATTTCTAGTTCAGTTCTAGTTCAGTTCTAGTTCATTTCTAGTTCAGTTCTAGTTCAGTTCTAGTTCAGTTCTAGTTCAGTTCTAGTTCAAGTTCAGTTCTAGTTCAGTTCTAGTTCAATTCTAGTTCAGTTCTAGTTCAGTTCTAATTTGAGTTCTAGTCTCAGGTCTCGTTCAGTCTATTTCAGTTATAGTTCAGTTTCTATTTCAGTTCTAGTTCAGTTCTAGTTCCAGTTCTAAGTTCTGTTCTAGTTCAAGTTCTAGTTCAGTATAGTTCAGTTCTAGTTTGAGTTCTAGTTCAGTTCTAGTTTCAGTTATAGTTCAGTTATAGTTCAGTTATAGTTCAGTTCTAGTTCAGTTCTAGTTCAGTTTCTAGTTCAATTCTAGTTCAGTTCTAGTTCAGTTCTATTTCAGTTCTAGTTCAAGTTCTAGTTCAGTTCTAGTTCAGTTCTAGTTGCAGTTCTAGGTCAAGTTCTAGTTCAGTCTAGTTCAGTTCTAGTTCAGTTCGAGTTCAGTTTCTAGTTTCAGTTCTGTTCAGTTCTAGTTCAGTTTCTAGTTCAGTTCTAGTTCAGTTTCTAGTTCAGTTCTAGTTCAGTTCTAGTTCCAGTTCTAGTCAGTTCTAGTTCAGTTCTAGGTTCAGTCTAGTTTCTAGTTCTAGTAGTTCGTTCTGTCAGTTCTAGTTCAGTTCTAGTTCAGTTCTAGTTCAGTTCTAGTTCAGTTCTAGTTCAGTTCTAGTTCAGTTCTAGTTCAGTTCTAGTTCAGTTCTAGTTCA